ACGGATGTTGTTTTTGGAGTTCCAGCCTTCTGTTCTCAGCCAAAACATCCTAAGGAGTTTGAGTGGCATATCCTGGAGATCAGGAGAGCACTAAAGATTTACATCATGCAGACAGACTCCTTCCGGAAGATGGATTCCATGTTTGTCAACATTTCTCCTCCACGGAACGGTGACAGGATGTCCAAGATGTCGATAAGCATGGTGCATCATGGACACATACAGGGCCGTGGGGCAGGACGTCCCCAAGGGCATCACAGCACATTCCTTACTAAGTGCAGCCACAAATGCAGTGTTCTCCATGGAGGAGGTCTGCAGTGCAGCCACATGGTCTTCCATATCCACTTTCGTATGTCATTACAAGTTGAACACAGTGGTTTCCGCAGATGTGGCATTTGGAAGAAGAGTACTGCAGCACGTCGTCATGATTGAGGAAGATGATGACCCACCCGAATGAGGGACATTGCTCTGGGAGGTCCCATAGAGATGTCCTCCACCTCAGAGGGAGAACGGCCATTGGCACTTACTGTGAAGGATCCTTCTCCTCTGAGGTCAGGAGGACATCTCAGCCCTCCCGCTTTCATCATCTTTCCTTATTTCTGTGCTGTCCTATTCTTTCTAGGCTACTTGACAGTCTTCTAGTGTTTTTTTCCTGTTGCAGTTTATGTTCAAGTTATAGTTGCCAGTTGTGTTTTTATAGGGCAAGACCAGTTATTTTGCCTTGAGATCACTGCTTTCGGAGTCCCAGAACTGAGGGATGGGCTATTCCGGAGGTGCCAACAGGAAGGGGAAAAGACAGTTTTCTGCCTCCCTAAAGGCACAGTGGGAATAACCCATAGAGATGTCCTCCTGACCTCAGAGGAGAAGGACCCTTCACAGTAAGTGCCAATGGCCATTTTAATCAGATCTCATAACACTGATTAGTTGTTAAGCAGACAATGTTTAGACAATTCATAGCACCTCTTACCTTAACTATCCTGTTTTTTTATGTTATGGACTGTTCAATGGCAAAACAGTAACTCTGGGATGCAGATCGATTCAGACGGGTAGCTGTGTTGGTTTGAAGTAGCAGAACAAAATTTGAGTCCAGTGGCACCTTTAAGACCAACAAAGTTTTATTCAAAGTATAGCTTTTGTGTGGATGCACACTTCCTCAGATGCAATGAATGCAGAAGACAGAGAAGCAGAACAGTAGCATTAAATGTTAATTGCAAAAATCTCAGCTCTTCCTCAGCAAGTTAATGCATCTGGGCACAATCTGATGCCAGCTAAGCCCCATGCTTTGAAGGCCACTTTAGCATATTTTTAAGAGAAAATAAGAAAATATGAAGGATCATCTAAGTTGGTGAGTTAGGATTGGAAAATGCTAGCTAAGAATGCTATCAGCAGTCAAGGGGAGTGTTATCCGTACCCACCGTCTGGTGTCGCTTTCCATTCACAGTTTGCCTGAGTTCTGATCTTTGTCTGACTCAGCTTCATGCAGATAGTAGTGTTGATGCTCTTGCATGTGACCTGGTAAAACTTAACCAAGAAGAACCTTCTGATTTAATCAGAATGTGTGTACATCTGAGTGAATGTCCCTCTTATATCTGTAGCCAATTTGGTGTAGTGGCTAGGAGTGTGGGCTCTAATATGGGAGAACCAGGTTTGATTCCCCACTCCTCTACATGTAGCTGCTGGCGTGACCTTGGGTCAGTCACAGTTCTCTCAGAGCTGTTCTGGAAAGAGCAGTTCTTGAAAGAGCTTTCTCAGCCCCACCTACCTCACAAGGTGTCTGTTGCAGGGAGGGGAAAGGAGATTGTAAGCCTCTCTGGGACTCCTTCAGGTAGTGAAGGGCGGGGTATAAATCCAATCTCTTCGTCTTGTGGGGTGGGGGAAGAACCTACAGCAGGAATTCAGCTGTACTGTGATGCTACTTCTATCAACAACACTTTTCCAGGTGTTATTCATGCAGATTCAACAAAACATGATGATTTCCCCATCCTCATTCCTCCTTGTTTACATTGTGGATCAAGCAGAATAAGTACAGGTAGTGCTGCCTAGAAAAATCTTTGCATTAATGCCCTCACCTTAAGGACATTTTTGTACCACCATAAGTGAGGCCCCCATCTGAACTAGCTCTAGAATTCCCCAAGCCCTTACCTGTTCTCTTGTCAATATCTCAGTCTTTCTTGAAGTAGTATTTGGAATATGAGCTCCTTTCCTCCTTTGTCCCCAAGCTCCTTGCTTTCATGGCCCTGCAGTCTACCATTCCATATCTTCCATACACTGTCCACTAGCACTTTGTTAGTAGCTACTCACCTTCTAGTGTTTTTAGCCCTTTTAGCCCTCTTATCCTGTTGATCTGGTTAAAAGGCATTAAGTGGCTGCTTCAGTATGTGCAAGAAGCCATGCTAGGAGTCTACCTCACTGGCCATCCCAGGCCTTTTTCTCTTTGAATTTAAGCCAAGGCTGAGGCAAAGCCCATTTCTTTATAATTATCATAGGAAGCAAAACCTACCAGGCATCATTTCTTATGTAAGTGTGGGCTAGATTGGAGGTTAATTGCTTGCATTCACTGTGGGTGAAAACCTTTCTGTAGCAAATTCAAGCAAGAGTTTACTATTCCTAGTAAACATTTTAATTAACACGAATAGTGTACAAGGGATTATATTCGGCCTCATCCCTCTTTTGTAGATTTTGATTTGTCTCAGAGTTCTTGTTCAGGCCATCTTTCTAAACTGTAAGCAGAGTCCAACTGTATCTGTTTTCCTTTGGCTACTTTTGCATAAAGATCTGTGTGAAATTTTCCTCCCCCCCCCCGGATAAATAAATTAATCTGCTCTATCAGTGCCTTGTTTCTGTAGTATACCGTACCCCAAAGGTCACAGTGACAATTTTCACAGAGATTGAAATAGGCCTATCAAGTAGGTCATTGCTCTTTTCCTCCTCTTTTCGTAATATCACAGCTTCAGTGTCATCCTCCTAATGAAACTGGCAGTAGAAGCAGGTAGAGATAGGAAGACCTAGGAGAAAACTGGGAGGGGGGAGGAATCCAATAGAAACATCTGTAAATCTGGGGAGGAAATAAAAAATAAATTTCTATGAATTACTTTCTCTTTGCAATGAGCGAAATGCTTTTAAATTTCATAACTGTACCAAATAGAACATTTTTAATATGTTAAACTATAACTGATGCATTTTAAATTGTCAGAGTAGTGATGCATTTTAAATTGTCAAAGTAGTACAAAGTAGTAATGGTATGATAAGAAAGTGTTAGATATATTACAATTCTTCCCAAAATGTCTGGGGATTTTTTTTTTCCTGTGGGGAAATAGTTCCCCCATCATGGCTTCAAAATTTCTAGAAATTTTACATCTCTAGGGTCAGGTCAGACCAAAAAAAATGTTTTGGTAATGGTCTTTAGAGAATTCACTACCATGTGATACAGTGATGGCCACTAGCTTACATGGCTCTGAAAAAGGATTAGATAAATTTGTAAAGCATAGGTCTATATCAGTGTTCGTCAGCTATGACAGTTAACTCTTCCTGTTCAAAGCAAAGCATCTTTCCCAATGCCAAGTGGAGACCGTAAAAGAAGGCTGTGACGTTCATGCCTTGATTGTGAACTTCCAGAAAGCCCCTGGCTGGCTGCTATTGGAAGCAAAAAGCTGGGCTCAAGTTCTTTTGATATGCATGGGGAAAATATGTTTATGCAATGAAAATGAAAGCTAGGGATTATGAGAAGGAATACCATTGTATAAATGTTTAGACCAGAGGCCATCTGGTTTTCCAGTTGTTTCTTCAGAATATGGGGAGGGGGGCTTATTTCACTTTTATATGGAGCATGTTCATTGAGAGGCAGTTGAAAGGTACTCTACATAAGACATTATTCTTTTTTAAGATTAAGTTGTGTTAAAAGGATCAATGAAACTTTCTGCGTATGCTCAGAAGCTATTTTTAGTTTTCTGATAAATTTTTTTACAAATACAACATATTAGTGATTCATGAAGAGAGGAAATAAAATATAGGTAGTGGAATAGGAGATGAGGGATTATATCGGGCATGGAGAAGTAGGAGGTAAGCTTTATGTGGATTGGAAAGTAACATGTCAAATCTGCACTATGTCTGCTCATTTTGCAATCTTGGGCAAGTGCTTGTTTTCTACATCTGTAAAATGGATCTGTATTTCATCTTTGAACATCAAAGGATGGTCCCTGGTGTCTTTATGACAGTGCTGAAATTATAGCAGACTACTTCAGAAGGCTCCAGATGCCTATTACTTGTTCCCTCTACCTCTGTTAAAGGACCTCTCCAAGTGACTTAGAAGGACCACTGGGATCCTGAGGAACTTACGTTAGCATTTGTTTACTCTGACTTTGTCAGAAGAGAGAAACGATACTGAACTGGTGTGATGATGTGAGGTTAAATAATCAATAGGTAATAATAGGACTGAAATTGTGCTTAATAAGAGGTGTTAGATCTTGCACAGAGAGGACATTCAGCATTATATAACATGAAGTAATGTCTTTCAGCTACCCCTTTTCACTCAAATTAGACTTTCTGAATGTGCACAGGCTAGGCAGGGTGGGTGGGACAGTTGGGCAGAGCTTGTAGCATCTACATTTTTTTGGCAGCACCATCTACCACAGTACAGTTGTATGGCTAGTTGCTTCAGTTCTTACTACTTGTTTTAAAGAACCTTGATGACTCAAAGTAAATGGTTGTTTTTAGGGTTCAAAAGGGGTTTCTGGTCTTATCAGTTGTGCAAGTGAAGGGGGCTTGAGAATGTTTGTCTTCTTTAAAAGCTGTGGGCTTTGCCTGCTCACAATATTCTTTCTGTAAGTCTAATTTTATGTAAACACTATTACCATGAGTTTGGTAAAATAAAAGTTGTTTGCAGAGATGCTTATACTGAGGTTCTTAAACAATTGCATGAACTGTTGAAGTTCATTTTTCAACTCCATTTTTTAATTAATGCTTTATTAAGCATTAAAGATTTGTGTTAATATTTTTCCTTCAAGGAAAGAAATCCATATCTAAAAAAGCAATTACAAAGAAGAGAAAATCTGTTATGAAGCCAGCTGTCCCAGAATTTCAGGTAAATAGTGTTTTTGTCTCTATTAACTTGAACTTCCAGAAAGCAAAGAAGCAGCATACTTCTAGGGAGTAAATACAGATTTAAGATGATTACATGTTCAGTCATGGATATTTTACTATAAAATGCAATATATTATTGTTATCATGGAATTAATATAGCTAAGTATTCTCACAAAGGTTGGATGTAAGCTTCCATAAAGTGAAGGAAAAGTGAATCTGAGATACAGGCATTCACTTTCTTGCACAAGGAGAGCAAGTTTAAATATAAGGTTTGCTCCCCTCATACAAGGGATTGATGTGAACTCATCAGTTTCCCCTTTTTTCTGCATCTCTCACACTGCATAGTATTATGTACAGGAAGGGTCGTCAGCATCAGCTTTTCAGGGGCACACGGAGCTGTCAGGATCAGGGGAAGATGAAGAAGATCTACTTCTGTTTGCAGAAGTTTGATTACAAATCGGTATTCTGTTAATTATATATGTAATACATGGAATCTAAAAATTTACTTTGCAAGTGTGGCCACCATCTGCGGATACCTAAATCTGCAAATCAGGGCCACACTTATGATGTACAGTTTTTTCTGCAAACTTGGATGATCCTCCACATTTGCAGAAAAATCTGAAATCTTTTAAAAAAAAAATACAAGGGAGGATTTTAATTCCCCCAAGATTAAAAATAGCATTCTCTGCACAAGCAGTTGTTGGAGGAGCCTAGGTGCATCGCTGGGCCCAGTGGTGGGAGCATAGCCCAGGAGTCACACTCGGCTTATCATGAAAGTGCAGGGGGGAATTCCCCTCCCATGAGTTTCATGGACCCTCACCTGTTATCTATAAAGTGGACATACTTGAAAAACCTGATTATACAGAGGAAAAAAGGTTGCAAAGAAGAAGAGGGCTAACTAAAGCAATAACATAGGAAATATATTTTACCAGAACACCATTCATATTTATTCTAGACTACATCAGCCATGATCCAGTGATCTGGCCAAGCAAAAGCCAATCTGGGAATTGCTGAGGCAGGCAATGGAGAAAAGGGCTGCTGTCTAGGGTCTTTGTATGTGTGTGGGCTCAAGACACTGTATTTATGGCCAATATAAATTAAAGCTTTTTTATGACACTTTAATGATTTTTTAATTATTGTAATTTAGCCAGTATAGAATTTCTCTGTGAATACAATGTAAAAATGCTGAGCTGAAGATACAGTTCCCAGCCCATCACCCTTTCGCTAGTCTTCCAGCAGTGCTTTCATTAAAACTTGCTTCATCCTAGTGGGCTGGGTCCAGGCTAAGTTTTCCAGTGGCAGAATGGGATTTTCCTGCCTCCACCCTCCCCCTGATCTCCACAAAATGCTGCTCCTGGAGAAGAAGGGATCTCAAGGAATGGCATGGGGGGGGGGTCCTGCAGCAGGAAGGGGTAAAGTGGTGGAAACTGCCAGTTTACTCTGGATCGGGCTATGCCATATAAAGTACGCATGAACTGAGTTACATGATTTTATGAACTGCACTTTTTATTTTTTGTAGGGAAAAAAAAATAGGACTGAAGACAAGCATATTGTCTAAAGAGCAAATTAAAAATGAGATTTTCAGGAAGTGTTACATTTTGTTGCTCTTTTTTTAAAATCCTGAATAGTTAGTGCTTGCATAACTTTTTTTTCTGCAACAATTAGAAGTTTTCTAAATGAAGCCAACAATTCTAAATTCTTACTTAGAGTTTCAAGAAAAGAAGATACTGAATGGTAACCCCTTAACTGAACAAATTAAATTCAGCTATTTCATTGTAATCTTTATTTGTATACCAGCCCAATTTTATGGCTTCTAACTTAGTCATATTTACTTGATTGATTGAGTTTGGAGTGTTTGAAGACATGTGAGAATTACTGGGGGGGGGAATTAAAATATTTGTGTGAGTAAGCTTACCGTTTTAGCTAAAATATCTATGCTTTTTGTCAGATGTTACAGTAAATCAATGATCAGATATGTGTGTTAATGTTTTTTTAAAACCCTGATTGATATGGATGGTGTGTTTGCTCTTATTTTAGCTTATTTGCACTAATCTTGACGAACTCAGGGATTTAATTAGAAAAATTGAGAATGAACTTAAAGATGTGGAAAACATTAAAAAGAAATCGGTATGTGTTTAAACTTTATCTTATTGTTGTTTAATAAAATATGTTTAAGAGGTTTCTGCGGGGATTGTCTCTTGTAGATGTATTTAACAAGTGTTTTCTGGAGCTGGATGAATCATGGGAAAATTTTTAACATTTCCACTTTGTCCTCCTGTAGGCTCTCAGTCATTAACAGCTAGCAAGGAAAAACAACATGTCAGTGTTTGTTTCTAAAGGTGATTTAGTCAAATAAAGTTTAACTTGTGACTAATGCCATGGAAAAATATAGTTTGTCCCACCCTGTCCATTTTCTCAGCTGCTTTATCGAGCATTGCCCTTTCCTCCTTCAATTGTAAACCAGCTGGGCATGGACCGTATCACTTCTACACTTATGGATATGAATTATTAATAGGACACAAGACCTACCCTTGAAATACTAATTAATCTAGGATACAACACAATGAGTTAAAATAAGACATACTTAATTAGAAGAATTTGGGAAATATTGTTAGAGTGATGGACAGTGGGAAGATTGATTCAAAGGTAAGTATCAGCCTAACCTACCTTACAGAGTTGTTGTGAAGATAACATGGAGGACAAGCAAATGATGTAAACAACTTTGGTTTGACATTGGAAAGAAAGGTGTGGTATATATGGAGTAAACAACTGTTCAAAATATACTTTTTTTAGAATTGTCACACATCATTCATATATTTATGCAAACGCTTACCTAGATGGGTGCTTGAGGCTCATGCACCTCTTTTAATAGCTGCTCCCCTAGAGAGAGGCTTCTGCTGATACCTCATTTTGAAACTGAAGCTGGAAAGAAGAGGCAAAGAGGTCTGTTGCATGAGGTGGACATATATATATATATATATAGCAGAAGTACTGCCCAAGCTAACTTCTGTTCTGTGCTCACATCTTAAATATGTGTCCTGTGATACTAGAACAGTAAATAAGTGAAATGTACAATGGAACTTTATTCCGTTCAGTAAGATACAAAATGACAAATCAGTGGCATAGATGATAAAACTTTTCATGGTTTTGCATTCTGTTAGGGTGTAGGCTAACAGACTGAGCCTATCTATGCATGCTAACTCAGAAGCAAGTCCCACCAATAGACCTTGCTCCCAAGTAAGTGTACCATGGGACTGCAATCTTAAGCATATTGTATTGTTTTTTTAAGCACTAGGGTGTCTGTTCATATGACTTCTGCTTGTTCTCTTTTTGCAAGAGACTATGAATTGCAGGCTTACTCCAGTTAAATATTCACCCATGTTAGCTCTGTATTATGTTTATTTTCCATTCCTAATCTTTCATTCAGGCATCAGTGTTTTGCTTAACCTGTATTGCTGTGAATCTGGCATCTTTATTCAGAAAGCTTTTTCTCAAGGCAATCTGCTTTTTTAAAAAAAGTCTGAAATTTAATTTATTCTAATCCTCCAGGAATTCTCGTTAGATTTCTGTAGGAGCTGAAGTGGTCTGCTCTTAAAAGTCAAGTTGGATTTATTTATATGCATAAATCTGGGTACTAGAAACTGACACTTTATTTTTATTTTATGTATTGTATCCAGAGCAGATTACAGCATAGTTCTGCTCTCCTCTGTTTTGACCCCACAACAACTTTGTATGGTAGCTTGGTCTGAAAGAGTGACTAACCCAAGGTCACCCACTCAATTTTTTGGCAGAATTGACCTTAGGTCTCCCAGAGCCAAGTCTCACCACCAAACTTAGGCTCCTCCTGTGTAGACTGCTGTGCTAACTCTTTTTCAGTGTTAACTCTTTTTCAGTGTAACTTTAGGTTCAGAGTATCGGTTCTCAGTTTAGAGACTTCATATACAGCCATTTTTCTATATTAATACCCGACTTTTCTTGACTTTCTTCTATTTTTTCCACTTTTATCTTATTTATAAAAGTGCTGGGATGCACTTTAGCCAGTAGCCTTCCTTTTTACTCATGATCTTTGATGTAATCTAGCTGTATAGCTACACTTTATCATATGTTGTACATTCTTTGCTTCAGTGATTGACTAATGAAATCTATGTAGAGTTACTGGTTTTTCCTATGTGATTATCGTATTCATCACACTTCTGTAATATACCTGAGATATCAGCAAAAATAGATAACAGGTTCACATGGGGACTGTGCAGGCCAGCTGTGGAGATTAGATTTGCTAGCTTCTAGAATCTTCAGCATGCCTAGGAGAGCTCCCCCTTGCCCTCTGTCCCAAGTCAAGAGCTAGTACTTTCCCATCCAGTCATGTGACAGAGGTGGGGAGAGTGCTCCTCTGTCAATTCTCTCTTCACCACTGTGGAGAGAGGATGCCTTGCTTCTAGCTTCTGTTCAGTGAGGTAATTTTTTCTGTCAAGTATCAGGATCATGGCTCTTTTTAAGAAATATCAGCAATATGGAATGAAAATGGCCCAAAATGATGAGCACGCTGACTGCTTATTTTACTTTGGGCAAGGTCATAACGCTACTGCCTACTAGGCATGCTGGTTGTTCACACCTTAGGCCAGCCAGGAGAGGATGTCAAGATTAAAAGCAGCACTGTGGGAAAAATCCCTTGCCATGACAGAAGAATTGGCTGATAAGTTTTCAAAACGGGCTCATACGCCTTCAGGAACACAGCAGCATCCTCAGAGCAGCTACTATCCAAAGAGCTGCCTCAGAGCCGCCAAAAAAGCAAAAAAGAAATCAAAACACGCAACTTCAACGTTGCCCTTAAGTCCCAACACCAGACTCCATCTCAATGCCGAACTTCTCCATCAGCCCTACATCGAGCATCAGACTCACCTCAACATCATGGCCAGACATTGCCTCAGCTCTATACCTTGGCCATTCCCTGATGCCAAATCTCTCCCTCACTTCAGTGGTGTTCACCCATGCCAACCCAGAGCGGACCACCATTGTCTTGGCACTGATCACCAACTCCACCTCAACGTCAAAGGCTACTAGTTTCTTGACATTGAAGCCTGTTACCAGAGAGAGTGGCAGGAGGTTCCAAGAATACTTTCACTGTTAGAGCCAGTGATGATGATGTTGTAGAGGTTACCCCACCTGTCTTGTCGGCACTGGACCACCAAAGCCAAGTAGGGCCTCCACATCACTTTCTTCAGCATCAACAGCAGCATGACCCTCATAGATGTTTGCAGCTAGCATCTAGGAGAGACCTAGCTGCCTTTCCTTCTGACCAACTTACATCAGCGCCTGAGGAAGAGGAAGCACAGAACTCGAAGAGTCAGAATGAACCTCCATGCCATCACCAAATGAAGCAATAGAAGATCCTTCACCGATTTCTCCCACAGAAGACCTAAGACTCTACTCCAAACAAGTAATTAGAATGGCTAAAGCTCTTGAACTAGATTACACTCCCACAGACCCAAAACCATCTGACCCCATAATGAATGTGTTGTATGGTTCAGAATCTGGACCAGTCTATAAGATTAGGGAGGAAGGTGCAAATTTCTGTTTCAACACCCCATGACCAATTCTCTGGTCATAAGGTTCTTCCAGCTAGACAGAGGTCAGGGTTGCACTCCTCTCCTATGGACAGAGAGGGCAGAAAGCTGGGGAGGGAGAGTTTACTCCTCAAGAGCACTGAGTCTCAGGGTCTTGAACTTCACTGCTATTATGAGCAGATATCAGATGTTCTTGTGGGAGTGCATGGCCCAACTCTTTGGGGCTCATCCAGACAAAAAGACCATAGTGAAAGTCCTTTATGCAGATTAAAAAGGCAGCAGCTGAACACTTCCCGCCACGTGACTGACTGTTTTAGTCAAGTTATGGGGTCAGATGTCATGCTCAGAAGGCGCTCATGGCTTCAGGTTTCTGCCCTGCCAATGGACACCAGGGCCAGAATTTGAATATCTGCCATTTGAAGGCAAAAACCTATTTAGCAACCAAACTGATTCTGTATTGGATAAGATTCGGAAGAATAAGATGACTGCCAAATCATTTGGGATTACGTCTCATACATCAGGGCCTTTCAAACAAAGGTACTTCTTCAAGCATGCCCAACAGTACCATCCCTACAAGCCATACCAGTACTAGTCATCACCCCATCAGCAAACAGTCTTTCACTCCAACCCTCCTTCAGAGAAAGCTTTCCCAGGGGAGACAAAAGGGGAAACAAGGCGCTCAATCCCCTAGGGACCAGCTTCAAAGGGGAAAACCAGTCATATGACTAGGATATGGCCTGCAATTTGACAATAGGTTGTCTTCTTTTGTAAGAAAATGAGAGATGATTACTCAGGACAACTGGGTTCTTTCTGTAATACAGAATGGCTACTTTTTGGAGTTTAAATCCATGCCTGGTTATCTCTCTCCACCTTCTTCTTATGGCATTTCACCCCCAGAATGGCTTCAGGAGGTCTCTGAACTCCTGTTGAAAGGGATAATCTGTTGGTTAGACCCATCTGTTGCCCACTCAGGGTTATATCCCAGATATTTCTTAATAAATAAAAAAGGGGTGGAAAGAGGCCAATTTTGGATATGAGGAAACTCAACAAACATTTGAGGATCCCAAAATTTAGAATGCTATCATTGGCTGATGTGCTTCCATTTGGGTAAAGGTATGTGGTTCATGGTCCTGGACCTCAAGGATGCATATTTCCACATTGCAATCCATGACACATGCAGAAAATTCCTCAGATTTTATTGTGGTGGCCACTATTACAAATACTATGCCCTGCTGTTTGGTCTAGCCAGAGCCCCCAGGATCTTCACAAAGTGTGTTGCAGAGGTGGTGCCCTTCCTGAGGTTACAGGAATGCTGAATATATTCTTAGTTAGACAACTGGCTTTTGTTGGGTATTCATATTCATATGACATGCTTGCACACCACCTCTCCTTTTCCATTAATACCCTGGAGGAGCTGGGTTTTATTATTAATCACAAGAAATCACATTCAGAACTCACTCAGTCTATAGAATTTATTTGGGCTCATTTGGATTCATCCTATAACAGGGCTTCCTTACCCTATCAGCAAGCTAGGACCATTCAGGCTCTCATAACCCACTTCCCAAAGGTCATATTTTAGAAGGCAGTGTGAATTCAGAAACTATTGGGTTTGAAATCCTCCATCATAGTAGCAGTCCAGCATGTTAGGCTTCACATGAGACCAGTGTTCCCTCTAAGCTGAGTTAGTGTGAGCTAGCTCACCGTTTTTTAGCCTCCAGCTCACACAGTTTTGTCTTAGCTCAGGAAGGATGGCTCCAGAGCAAACTTTATTTATGCAGTAGCCAAATCAGTCGCTCACAACTTTAATGCCAGTAGCCCACAAAGTAGAATTTTTGCCCACAAGACTCCACAGCTTACAGGGAGCATTGCATGAGACCCTCTCCAAAATTGGTTTGTGTGTAAGTTCGTAATCAATTCTGATCCCCAGTGGCTTAGGCACTCTGTTCTTAGGTCTGTGCTGAGATCTACAGACTGGTGGTCAAGAGATGAGAACCTGTTACAAGGGGCTCCCTTAGGTACGTTTTCCTACAACATACAAGTATGTCTGGATGCCTCTCTAGGAGGATAGGGGGCATATGGTAATGGTGTTTTGGGTAGTGACTGATGACCACACAAGGAAACTAGATTACACATTAGAGTTTTGTTGTTGTTGTTCAGTCTACTGGAACTCTAAGCCATCAGGTGTGCTCTTGCCTCTTTTGCAGCCATGATTGAAGGGAAACAGCAGTTAGTCACCATGGACAACATGACGGTACAATTTTACATCAACAAAGAGGCACAGACTATCCCTGTGCAGAGAAGGAAGCCTATTTGGCAGTAGGCCATACAACAACACATCACCCTCACGATAGCTCACATAGCCAGTCAGGAGGTGATGGTGGCTGCATTGAACAGAGAGGAAGGGATGAATGTTCCTTAAACAATCACTATCTGGATCGAGTTTTCAGAGAATGGGGGCATCTAGCTATAGATATCTTTGCCGCCGCAGAGAATACCAAATGTGCCCTGTTCTGTTCCTGCATGGCATGAGACAAGTGCTCGATAGGGGATGCTTCCCAGTTTTTGGTGTGGTGCCATCCTATTTGCACTCTCTCTTTTCCCCTTGCTGTGCATGGTGGTAACGAAAATGAGAGCAGACAAAACCACCTGCGTCCTGATAACTCCATATTGCCCAAAAAGGATTTGGGTTATGACACTTTGGGATCTAGCAAAAGGGAGTTCAGGATGTTGCCAGCTGTTGAGGAAGTTCTCATAAACAATCCACTGCTCCATCATAATGTGAACCCCCCTCGCATCTGGCTGCATGATTAATTTATCAGTAATGCAGTGGTCAGATAGGGCAGCTAATGTATAAGTATGTGCCAGGAAACCCTCCACACGAAAATCGTATAGTTCTAAGTGGCATTGATTTACACGTTGGACTCAACAGCGACGGCTTAGGCCAAATAAGAGGTCATTACCATTATCACTTAAAGATGAGGGTTTGTCCACATCCCCAGTGAAAGTTCACCTAGCCACAGTTTTGGCTTTCCATATGGGCCTGGATTCCTGCACTATTTTTTCTCATCCACATTCAAAAGGGTTTTTTCCACTTTTTAAAAATTAAATTTACATTAACAATAAACAATACACAATATAATTACTTATTTAGATCATTTACAATAAAAATATAAAAAGAAAAATATAAATTAAATAT